GGTGTTATAGGCGGCTGGGGAGTCCTGGGGGGGTGTTATGGGGTAGGGAGAGCTGGTAAGGTTTTATAGGGCAGGCTGGGGGGGCCTGGGGGGTGTTATAGGGAAGGGAAAGCTGGTAAAGTCTTATAGGGCAGGATGGGGGGTTCTGGAGGGGTGTTATGGGGCAGGGAGAGCTGCTGAGGTGTTATAGGGGAGGAGAAGGGGGTCCTGGGTTGGTGTGATGGGGTGGGGAGATCTGGTGTTATAGGGCAGGCTGGGGGGGTGGAGAAGTGCTATGGGGCAGGACAGGGTTGCAGCAGGGGCTCTGACATGGGGCATTTAGGGGCAGCGGGGCAGAACCCAGCTGCCCTTCCCTAGGGTACCCTAAAGAAGGACGGGGGGGGCTCTGGGGAGGGGACGGGGGGGCTGTGAAGCACCAGGGGGGGGGAGCACGAGAGCTGCTCCAGGAGCTGGGGTCCTGCAGGGCTGCTACGGGGCGAGGCTGGGGGGGCCCTGCTACAGCCACCCCTATCCCCCCCCCCCCCCCACAACCCCCCCAGGGCTCTTTGGGCTGGTGAACAACGCGGGGGTGGCCAACCCCATCGGCCCCACGGAGTGGATGCGGATTGAGGACTACAGGCGGGTGCTGGATGTCAACACCTTCGGGGCCATCGAGGTGACGCTGGCGCTGCTGCCGCTGCTGAAGCGGGCGCGGGGCCGCGTGGTCAACACCTCCAGCGTCCTCGGCCGCCTCTCCGCCAACGGCGGCGGCTACTGCCTGTCCAAATACTGCATCGAGGCCTTCTCCGACAGCCTCAGGTGGGTCCCCAACCCCGTCACCCCCCAGTCCCAGTCCCCCAAACCCGTCCCGGTCCCCTAACGGGGACCCGCATCGCCCGCAGGCGCGACATGCGGCACTTCGGGGTGAAGGTGAGCATCGTGGAGCCCGGCTTCTTCAGGACGGCCGTCACCGACCTGGGGGGCATCGAGGCAGGCCCTGCGGGGGCTCTGGGAGCGCCTGGCCCCCGAAACGCGGCTCAGCTACGGCGAGGATTTCTTCCACAAGTGTGAGCGGGGGGCGGACAACGGCACGGGTCGGGGGGCACCTCCGTGCACCAGGGCGCACGGGACCCCAGGGAGCGCACGGGACCCCAGGGGAGCGCACTGGGACCCCAGGGGGCACACGGGACATGCCTGGGGCTGACCCTAACCCCTTTCCCCATCCCAAATTTCCACCCCCCCCCCAGACCTGAAGGTGCAGCGGCTCATCATGAACCTCATCTGCGACGGGGACCTGGGCAAGGTGACCGCCTGCATGGAGCACGCGCTGGGCGCCCAGCACCCCCGCACCCGCTACAGCGCGGGCTGGGACGCCAAGCTGCTCTGGCTGCCCGCCTCCTACCTGCCCGCCTGCATCGTCGACCTGGCCCTGGCCCTCATCCTGCCCAAACCGGTGCACAGCCAGCGCTAGGTGCCCCCCCCTCGCCGGTGCCCCCCACCCCCCGTGCCGCCAATAAAGCTCTCGCCGTGGCGCTGCGCCTTCCTGGCTGGATCCGCTGTCCCAGTGCCTCCCAGTTCCTTCCTGGCACCCTACTGGTGCTCTACAGCATCCTACTGGTGCCCTACAGCACCCTTACGAGGCGGCGGCTGCTGCTGGGGGGGGCACAACCCAGGGGTTATCACCCCCCCCCCCCGTTCCCCCCCAAATCCAGCCCCACAGCTTTAAGGAAGCTTTTTATTTCCTCACCCCCCTGCGCTGCCCCCCCCAGCCCTTGTTGGCACACAGCAGGGGGAGTCCGGTGGCGGCGACCCCCACCACATGGGAAAGGGGGGGGGCAGGGGGGGCGTTTGGCACGTGGAGCCCCCCCCAGGTGGGGGCCGTGGTGCCCATGCCGGGGGCTACATGACCTCGTAGCCGCTGCGGATGCCCTTCATCAGGCAGCAGGTGAAGATGATGCCCAGGATCTGCGAAGGGAGAGGGCAGGGGGGGGTTGGTCCCGGTGCCCCCCCCCCATCCCCACAACTCACACACATCGTGGGGGGGGGGTCCCAGCCCCACACCCACCTCGAAGAAGGCAATGCCCAGCGCAACGGCGGCCACGATGAGGATGTTCTTCTTCATCCAGGCTTCCATCGCCGGCAGGCAGCCCTGGGGAGGGGGGGGGGGAGCAGAAAGGGGGGGGCTCAGGGGCTGGCAGCCACAGCTGGGGGGGGGCTGAGCAGTGCCGGGGGGGGGTCCTGCACCTTCTCGTAGACGGTGGCGGGGGTGGGGTGCACGTTGCAGGTGGTGGTGTTGATGCGGCAGCAGGAAGTGGGGCACGGTGTCGTTGGCCCTGAACTGCTCGATGCTGCTCCAGTCCGTGTAGTTGCTGGATCCGCAGCAGTGGAACTGTGCAGGGGGGGGGGGCAGAAAATAAGATGGGGGGGGCATAAAATAAAGTGTGGGGGGGCAAGGCCCACGGGGAAGAGCTGCTCACGTCCTGCTGGAGCTTGTCCACCGCCTCGGTCAGCGGCTGGTCCTGGCCGTACTTGCGCATGGTGTCCCACAGCCCCTCCTCCAGCTTCGAGCGGACCTGGGGGGGGGGCACACAGCCATGGGGGGGGGGATCAGGACCCAGCTGGGGATAGGGGGGGGCACCTAACAGCAGCTCCACGCCCCCCTCCCCACCTTATCCTTGAAGACGTAGCCGGCGATGGCAGCGGCGATCTCCACCAGGAAGATGATGCTGAGCAGGACGGCGAACTGCGGGGGGGCAAAATCAACACGGGGGGGGGGTCAAGACCTCAAGACCACCCTTGACCCCCCCCCTCACCCCCATAGACCCCCCCCTCACCGTGGTGACCATGCAGTAGCTCTCCTTCCAGGCGCCGCAGCAGCCGAAGAAGGAGACGAAGAAGATGATGATGCCGACCACCAGGATGGCCACGGGGCTGCTGGCGGCGGGGGCGCTGCCCACCACCAGCGCCTTATTGAGGGCCACCTGCGCGTAGATGCCGATGGCCACCAGCGCCACGCCGCATACCTGGGGGGGGGGACACACACACACATAGCTGGGGGGGGGGCACAGAGCCCTGCCACCCCCCCCACAGAGCCCTCAAGGGGGTCCGGTGCCGCCGAGCATCGCCCTGGGGTTGGAGGCTGCCCGCGGTGGGGACCCCATCCCTTGGGGGGGGGGGGGGGGGTCAGTGGTAAGGGGGGAGGGATCAGTGGTTAAGGGGGGGGCCACCACAGCCCGGGGGGGGGTGCGTTGGCGGCTATCGGAAGCTCTGCTTCCGGCCACGGTGGAGGCCTTGGAGGGGTGGAGGGGGGGGCCCTGACGCCAGCTCCGCAGCCGGGGAGGGGGGGGGACGCGGCCGGATCTGGGGGTGGCCACGGGGCTGGTTCCTGTGCCCCCCCCTTCCTCCATTTCCCCCCCCCCCTCCCCAAGACCCAGGCAGAGCCAAGCGAGTGCCCCCCCCTCTCTGGAGCAGAGTGCAGCAGGAGCGGCTCCATCCCCGTCCCGTCCCCCCCAGCTGGGCCCCCCCCGGCCACAGCTTCCCCGCCGAGGGGGGGGGGTCGAGTCCCGGCCCCCCCCCGCGGCCGCCGGCGCTGTTTGCTCGCTGGGTGTGGGTAAACAGAGCCGGCCCCGCCGCCCGCTGCACAAACACTCAGAGCCGCGGGGTCCGGGGGGGGGCTGGCGCCTGTGTCCCCCCCCCAAAAAAACCAAAAAACTCTTCACCGCTGGCAAACGGCCGAGCCCCCCCCCCCCCCCCCGGCCCCGCGGGGTGACTCAGCCCAGCGCGATCCGGGTGGGACCGGGACGAGTCAGCCCCGGCCGCGGGGGGGGCGGGGGGGGGCCGGGACGGGACGGAACGGGAGGTGCCCCCCCCGCCCCCGCCGGCCGTTGGCCTCCTCGTGCCTCTTTCCTCACCCCAAACTTCCCCAAACCCGCGCTCTGCCCCCCCCTTTTCCCCCCCACAACCCCAAACCCCGCGTGGGGACCCCAGCCCGGAGGCAGCACCCGGTGGGGGGGGGACATTCCCTGTGTCCCCCGTCCCCCCCCCCCAGCCCCGTTGTGCCCGGGGGGGGGGGGGTGACCCCGGCCCGATCCCGGTTTTTGGGCGGCCCCCCCCAGGGCGCGCCTGCCCGGCCCTGCCCCGTTACCCCTGGAGCCTACCGACGGCGGAACGGCCACGGCGCTGCCCGGCCCCCCCCCCGACACCCCCTCCCGGTGCCCGTGACCCCAAGGGGGGGGGGGGGGCTCTCGGGGATGGGACGGGGGGAGCGCAACGAGGGGGCGGCGGCTGCTGCCCGCCGGGGTCCCGCTCGGTGCCACCTCGGGGGGCTCGGTGGGGAAGATCCCCCCCCCCATACCCCCCCCGTGCCCGGTACCCCCCCCACCCCCCCGGCTCCCTGCCCGCCCCCCCCGGCCCCGCACTCACCCAGAAGATGAAGTTGAAGATGAAAACCAGAAACTTGACGCACTTCATGCCGCCCTCCAGCGCCATGGCGAGTCCTGCGGGCACCGGCACCTCGCAACCGGCCCCGCTCCCGGTGCCCCGACCCCAACCCCAACCCCACCGACCCGGGACCCTCCCCGGGACCCCAACACCCCTCCCGGGACCCCGGGACCGCTTCCCCGCTCCGCTCCCGGTGCCGCCGCCCCCCTCCCGGTGCCCGGTGCCGCTCCCGGTGCCCGGTGCCGGTCCCGGTGCCGCCGCCGCTCCCCCGCCCCGGGCGCTCACCGGCGCCGCTGCCGTCGGTGCGCCCTCGATCATGTGATGGGGCTGGCGCCAGTCAACAGGAAACCCCGGTCCCGCCCCGGTCCCCGCCCGGTCCCGCCCCGGTCCCCCCCGGTCCCGCCCCCACCCCCCTCCGCGCCCCCCGGCCCCGAGCGGCGCCGCCGGGACAGGACAGACACGGGGTGGGGGGGGGGGGCACGGGCCGGGACACGGAGCTTTTAATGAGCACGCGGGGACAAGGACACCGGGGGGGGCCCCCGAGCTCGCCCCCTGTCCCGCAACCCCCGGGGTCCCCGCTGTCCCCTGCCCCGGGGTCTCGGTCACCGCCCCGTGGCACCGGGTCCCCGCTGTCCCCTGTCCCCACCGCCCCAAACCCTGCACCCTGGGGTCCCCAGCACCCCAGTGTCACATCCCCAAACCCTTTGGTCCTCGCTGCCCCACGCCCTGGGGTCCCGGCCACCCTACACCCTGCTGCCCCCCCGGGACCCCACTGTCCCCACGTCCCGCACCCTGGGGTCCCGGCCACCCTGGTGGCACCGCTCTGCGCTCCTTGGTCCCCGCTGTCCCCTGCCTTGCACCCCAGGCTCCCTGGCCACCCCAGGTCCCCGCCACCCCCTGCCCTGCACCCTGCCCCCCCCCCGCACCCACAGTCTCACAGCCCGGGCACGGCCACCAGCGCACCCAGCACGGCCTCCAGGTGCTGGGGGTGCACATAGGCCACCAGCCCCCCCCGGTTCGCCCAGCGCTCGGCCCCCACCACCCCCTCCGCAGGGCGGTTGTAGAGCAGCTCGGGGGGGGGACCGGTGTCACCCACCCGCCGTGCCCGCAGGGCCTCCGCCAGGGCCACCGTGCCCCCCCCCAGGGCCCGCAGGATGGCGTGGGGGGCGCAGGCGTCCCAGGCGAAGGTGCTGCCCTCGGAGAGGACGTAGGCGTCCGCCAGCCCCAGGATGACGCACAGCATCTTGTAGCCAGCGCCGGCGGCGAAGCGGAGGCGGCCACCGCAGAGGGGGTCCAGGGCTGCCCGCACCCCCGGCCCCTCGGCCCGGCTCAGCACCACGCGGGGCGGGGGGCGCGGAGGTGGCGGGGGGCTCAGCGAGCACAGCCGGGTGTCCTGGTACGCGATGCCCCAGTGGTACCGGCCCTGCCACCTGCGGGGATGGGGACACAGGGTGAGCCCCAACGCCGCGTCCCGCAGCGTGGGTCCGTCTGCGGCAGGGGTGGGGGTCCACGGTGCCCCCCCTGGTGGGCCGGTACCTGTGGGTGAGGGGGTCACGGCAGAAGAAGGGCTCGTTGATGACGCCCAGCACGGGGCAGCCAGAATGGCGGTCGTAGGCGCCGATGAGCACCAGCGCCGAGCACAGCCCCGACGGGGGAGATGCCGTCGACGGGGGCCACGTCCTCGCGCCCCCCGATGTACTCGTTGGTGGAGTCTGAGGGTGCAACCGCAGCCCTCAGTGCTCAGCCACGGATCGGGGGGGGGGTCCCCAGCCCACCCCCGTGCCCCTCTCTCACCGATGGGGTCTATCCAGATGGCCAGGTCCCCAGGTGGGATGCTCAGGGCCACCCCGTCCAGCGCCGCGTCCCCCAGCACCACGTCGCGGTGCGCGGCGGCTGCCAGCAGCTCGGCTGCCGCCTGCTCGGGGGCCAGCACGGAGCCCAGCAGCGCCGCAGTCTCGCCGACCGTGCCGCACACCCGCACCGCCACCGTCTCCCCTGCCGGCACCACGGTGGCGTCACCGAGGGCTCGAGGGTGGTGGCGGTGGTGGTGGGGGGGTCCCGTGCCCACTGCCCCCCGACTCACCCTGGGCGTTGGTGAACTCGTTGGACTCCTCGCCGCCGATGTGGCCCTGCAGCTCGGGGAACTGTGGGCAGATCGGGGTCAGCGCCACCCCATCCGGTGCGGGGAACCCCCCCTCGCCCCCCCGGCGCGTCCCCTACCTCCGTGCCCAGGTCGTGCTTGATGACCTCCTGGATCAGCACGTCCGCCAGCGTCTTGAAGTCCTGCAGGAACCGCCGGTTCTTGTCGGCGCCCGTCTTCTCGGCCACCAGGAGCTGGAAGAGGGGCTCCTCGTGCCGGCACAGCCGGGCGATGTCGGCCGCCTTCTCCGAGGCGCTCACCAGGGCCTTCAGCAGCCCCGCCATGCCTGGGGACGTGGAGCTCAGCGGGTGCCCACCACGGGCCCGCTCCGTCCCCCGCGTGCCCCCACGGCACGGCCCCACGCATCCCCAGCCCCTAATTGCAGGGTGCCCAGGGCCGCATCCTGCCTGGCCCGGCAGCGTGTCCCCAGGGTGGGGACCGGGCTAAAATTAACGAGAGTGGCAGCCAGAGGCGACCCGCGGCACAGAGCTGGGGACGTGGCCGGGCACAGGCATGGGGATGGGGACGTGGACGAGGACGGGGAGGGGGACAGGGACAGGGATGGGAACAGGGACAGGGAAGGGGACGAGGACGCGAATAGGGATGGGGACGGGGATGGGGACACGGATGTGAATGGGGACAGAGACGAGCATGGAACAGGGACAGGGACGGGGACAAGGACAGGAACAGGGACGGGGATGGGGACGGGGACGGGATGGGGATGGGGATGGGGTCATGGACGTGGGGCTCTGCCCCCCCCAGCCAGGTCCCAGCTGCACCCGGGGTGAACGGGGCCGCACCCGGACCCCCCCGTTACCCCCCCGCGGGAAGGGGCCACGCAGCGATACTCCCAGGACACCGGGGGGGGGGGAGGGGGGGGAGGCACTGTCCCGGGACCCCCCCGCGTGGGACCCTCCCCCCCCGTTCCGAAGCCTTTCCCCGGTGCCCCCGCGGGGATCCCCCGCGCCCCTCCCGCTGCCGTTACCGGGCCCGGTGCCGCTCTCCGCTCCTCCGGGGGGGCCCCGCTCGGCGGCGCCGTGGGGCGGGGCGGGGCCACCGGGACACGTCACGGCGCCGCCTTAACCCCCGCGGCTCCGCGCGGGACCCGGTGCTGCGGGGGGGGGGTCCCGCCGGGGGCTTCCCAGCGCCGCCGCCGCCGCCGCCTCCGCTTCCCGCTCGCTTCCCCCCCGCGCCGCCCACCGGATGATGACGTCACGACGGGCGGTGACGTCATCGCCGCGGGGAAACCCCGGGGACGGCGCCCGGCGGGGCGCTACCGGCGGCGCAGCCTCTCCGGGACCCCCCCCCCCCCCTGGACCCGACCCCGCCGGGGACGGAGGCTCCGAACCCCGGGGGTGCGGCGGGGCCGTTTCCCCCCCCGGGCCGCGCGGTGGCGCCCTCCGCCCGGCGCTGAGCCGCGCTCCGGTTTTACCGGCGCCGGTGTGAACGCGGCCGCTCCGGAGCGGCTCCGCCGCGCCCCCTGGCGGGATGCGTCTGCGCCGCGCCGCCGCCGCGCAACCGGGACCGCGGGGCCGCGACCGGGGCCGCTCGCCCCGCACCGGGAGCGCCGCCGCCACCCACCGGGAGCGGGACCCGGGGCGGGTCGGGGCCGGGGCAGCCCGGGAGGGGACTTTGGGGGGGGCTCGGGAAGGGGGCGCCGGGCGCGGCCGCGCCTCCCCCTTGCCCTCTCCATGGTTCTGATGGGGCCGGCACCGGGAGGGAGCGGCCGGGCCCCGCCCGCCCCGAGGGGTCCCGCCGGGAGCCGCCGCGCTGCCCGGGACCGGGCGGGGTGAGCCGTGCCGGGAGCCGCTGCCCGGGGCCGCCCGGGGCCGGTGTCCCGGTGTCCCGGTATGCGCCCCCCACTCCCGTTCGTGCCCCCCTTCCCCGGTGCGGGACCGGGCGGGGAGGGGGCGGGGAGGGGGCGGGGGCGCGGCCCCGGGGCCGGTTGCGTAGGGGGGGGGGGGGGGGGGTGAGCACGATAAGGACCGGGAGGGGACCGGGGCCGGGGCGGGGGCGGCTGAGGACACGGCGCGGGAGGGGCCGGGGGCGCGGGGGCGCGCCCGGGGGGTCCCAACTCCCGGCAAGTGCGGCGGGGCCGGGCCGGGCGGGGCCGGGCGGGGGCCGGGCCGGGCCGGGCGGCGTGCGGGGCGCGGCGGGCCGTGCCCGGTGCGCGGGGGCCGGCGGCTCGCTGGTGACAAGCCCCTGCCAGAACCTCTTTTGTGCGCCCGCAGCCAATCAAGGCCGCTGACGACACACTTCACTTGGGATATAAAACCCCGGGGCCGCCGCCGCCGCTTTTTCTCCCCCCCCCCCCCGCGGCCCCTCGCCGCCCCGCTCCGCGCCCCGCCGCCGCCGCCGCCGCCGCCCCGCTCCGCGCCCCGCTCCGCGCCCCGCTCCGCCGGCCCGGGCCCGGCGCGCCGCGGCGGGGGCCGGCGGGGAAGGCCCCGGGATGGCCCCGGTGCTGCTGTGGCTGCTGGCGCTGGTCGCGGGGGGCCCGGCGGACGCGCAGCCCCCCGCCGCCGCCGCCGCCGCCGCCGAGCCCGCCTGCCCCGTGTGCCTGTGGCGGCGGCACAGCAAGGAGCTGCGGCTGGAGAGCATCAAGTCGCAGATCCTGAGCAAGCTGCGGCTGAAGGAAGCGCCCAACATCACCCGCGAGGTGGTGAACCAGCTGCTGCCCAAGGCGCCGCCGCTCCAGCAGATCCTCGACCTCCACGACTTCCAGGGCGACTCGCTGCAGCACGACGAGTACCTGGAGGAGGACGAGTACCACGCCACCACCGAGACCGTCATCAGCATGGCCCAGGAAAGTCAGTGCCGCCTTTGTTCCGGCCGCAAACTTCGCCGCCGGGCCCCCCCCCGGCCTCTCCCCCCTCTCCCCGACCCCCCCCCCCCCCGCTCCCCGCGGCCCCGGCTCCGCGCCTGTAACTTTCCGCGCCGCGCCGGGCACCGGCGTCCCCGGGGCTCCCGCTTCCCTCCCGGGGCTCCCCCGCCTCCCCCCGGGGCTCCCCCGCCTCCCGTCCCGCTCCCCCCGGGGCTCCCTGCACTCCCCCGGGGCTCCGCGGCTCCCTCCGGGGCTGCCCGGTTCCCCCCGGGATTCCCCAGCCTCCCCCGGTTCCCCCGGGTTTCCCCGCTCCTCCCGGGGCTCCCCGCACCCCCCGTTTCCCCCCGGCATCCCGGGGCCGCCCCGTGACCAGCCCCGGGCACCGGCCCGCAGCCCCCGACCCGCCGGCCCCGGGACCGGCTCCGGGCAGCTCGGAGGTGGGGGGGGGTCGCGCTGCGCCGCACCTCGCGGGGCCATGGGGCTGGGGGGGCACCACGGGGACACCGGGGACACGGGGACATTGGGGACATGGGGACGAGACAGCAGAGCCGGCAGCCACTTCAGGGCACTGGAACCAGGGACTGGGACCAGCTGCTGGGCACTGGGGCTGAGCACTGAGCACTGGGTGCTGGGTGCTGGGACTGGTGACTGGGTGCTGAGAGCGGGTACTCGGTGCTGGGACCAGGTACTGGGTACTGGGACTTAGCTTTGGGTGCTGGGACCAGTGGCTGGGTGCTGGGACCAGTGGCTGGGTGCTGGGACTGGGCACTGGGTGCTGGGACCAGGCACTGGGTGCTGGGACTGGGCACTGGGTGCTGGCAGCAGGTACCAGAACTGAGCACTGGGACCCAGTGATGGGGACTGGGACACGGGACTGGGACCTGCCACTGGCACTGGGCACCAGCACTTGACACTGGGACTCAGCACTGGTGCAGGGACCGGCCTCGGGGTGCCTGGGCCCGTTTGTCCCCTGGCGGAGCAGCCCCAGGCCCCACTGCTGGGGGACACCGCCACACGGTGACATCCCAGTCCCCAGTCCCCACGGGGACACCGGGTGCCAGCAGCGCCCTGCTGCAGCACGTGGCAGCAGGGTGACAGCGGGGTGGTGGCAGGGTGACAGCGGGGTGACAGCAGGGTGACAGCGGGGACTGCGCGGGGTCCCCACTGGGCTATGGGGATGGGACAGAGCGCGGGGGCTTCGCTTCGCCGTGCCGTGGCTCCGTCTGTCCGTCCAGCCGTCCGTCCGTCCGTGGGTGCCTGATGTGGGGAGGGGGCGCAGGGATGGGGCCGTGCTGGTGCGGAGAGGTGCCGGGGGGGGCGAGCGTCCCCCTGCCCAGTCCCAGCCCTGCTCCACCTGCTCCAGCCGCGGGCCGAGGCTGCCTGGGACCCCCGGAACCCCCGGGGCGGGGGCCGGGCCGGGCGGGGTGTGAAGGCCGAGCGGAAGGGAGGGAAGTGTGAGGCGCTCCCCTCCACCAGCCCCCTGACGAATTTCCTTCCCAGGCATTAATAGACTCGGGCGGCTTTGAAATTTTATTACCCATAAAATTGACAACACGCTGGGGTTTTCCTCCCCGCTCCGCGTTAACGCTCACTCCCCCCCCCCGGCCCCCTCCTCCCCTTAACAGCTCGGGGGCCCCCAAAATAAATACCAGAGCGCGGCCCCTCCTCCCGGCATGCGGAGGGGTCCCGCGGCCCCGGCCCCAGCCCCGCAGCCGGATGCGCCGCGGGGCCTGGCCTGCCCCGGCCGCTGCCCCGGCCCCTCGCCGCTCCGTTATTATTATGATTTTTCCTCCCTCTTTGCCTCCCCGTGGCAATTGTGTGGGTTTTTATGGTTCCTGAACAGAAGGAGGGAAAAGGCTTTATAGGCAGCAGAGCCATAAAGCTCTCGGGTTCCCCTCGCCCGCCCCGGCCGCCCCCCCCCCCCCGCCCGGGTTTAATCCAAAGCCACAACCCTCCACAGCCCTCACCCCCCCATTTTTTTTTTTTTTAACTGCAGAAGAAACCCGGGAAGGTTAATTGGGTCCTAAAACCATTTATGGGCTACCCCTGACCCCCGCGACCTCCGGGGTGGAGGCAGCTTAATGAGGGGCGATGGAGGCCGGGGCGCGGGGGGCACAGCCCACGGGCGGGGGGCCAGGGGGTGCCCGTGCCAGCGCTGCCAGCACCGGGGCCGCTCAAGGTCAGCGGGGACCAGGGGGCCGTGGGACTGGGGCTGGTGGTGATGGAGGCACCGCCGGCACGTGGCCCGCTGCGGGGCGATGGGGTGTCCCCGGGGCGCTTCGGCGGGCGAGGGGTTAAGGGGGCATTTTGGGGAGGGGGAGCCCCAAATCCCTCCGGGTGCCTCCGCAATGGGAACAAAGAGCGGGGCGGGGGGCTCGGGGCCGCCCCCCTCCCGGCACATACTCAGCTGTGACCGGTGTCCCGGTAACCTTTATCCCCCGTTGCCACAGCGACGGGCCGAGCATCCTGGCACCGCCGCAGCCCCGTGCCAGGAGCAGCGCGGCGTGGCAGAGCCGCTGCGGCCCCCCCGGCACCCTGAAGCCCCAACACCTGGGAAGCCGGGATGAGCCGGTGAGAGGCTCGGCCGCAGCTCCAGGGTCCCTGCACCGGCTCCAGCGTTGGTGTCTCTCACCTGGAGACCCTACAAAAACACCCCCACCGGAGCTGTCCTTGCCGCGGTCCAGCTGCGGCGAGCCCGGAGCCGACCCCGTGAATCCACCGAGGATCTCGGTGTGGGACCCTGGGGACCGAGAGCCCCTCGGGGTGGCCACCGGCACGTGCTGGGACAACGTCCCGCCAGCCACCGGTGGCGAAGCCGCCAGGGCTCGGGGGCACCGCGTGCCCTAGGGAGGGGATGGGGCAGCGCAGGGGGAACGTGCTCGGGGCCGGTCCCGGGGGAGCGCGGGTTTAATAGGGGGCTTGTGCGCAGCAAATTGCTGGGAGGGGTTTGCGCGGCGAGCGCCCGCGGCCCCCCAGCCCCTGTCACTTTGGTTTATGTGAGCCGCGGCGGGGGGGGAGCGCGCCGGCCACATGGCGGATGGATGGCATTCCCGGGGCTGCGGCCAGGTGTCGTGACCCCGATGTGTTCGGGGAGGCCTCGCGCGCAGCAAATGGCCCCGCGCTGCAGCTGGGTGCTATTAAACCTGACCGGTGCGTGGCAGGGGGAGGGGGGCTGCTCGGGGAGGGAGGGGGGGGGAAATTCCCAGCTCAATTTGACACAGATGTTTGGCGAGCGGGGAGGGCGGGCGCGGGGCCGCATCCACCCAGGGTGCTGCCGTGGGGCTGGGGGAGGGCGGCGGGGTGCTGGGGGTGCAGATGTTTGGGGGTTCCCGTCCCCAGGGAGGCCGCTCGCCCTCAGCCCCATGCCCAAAAGCTTTGCCCAGGGCAGGGGTGGTCGTCCTGGTCCCGCCGTGGTCCCAGGGCGAAGCAGCCTCCCCAGCAGCTCCAGGGCCCCCGCACTGCGCCAGGGCGAGCTCAGCACCGCGGGGCCCTTCTTGGCACTTTGCTGCGTGTGGAGCTGCCGCCCCCCGGGACTGCGGGCACACGGCGGGGGATGCTGCGGGTCTGCGGCCGGGGGCCGTGCGGGGTCTCTGGTGGAGGCTGCTGCAGGTCTGTGGCTGGGGAGGCTGCGGGTCCCCACCCGGAGGAGGCTGCAGGGCTCCGTCTAGGGGCTGCTGCGGGTCTCCAGCTGTGGATGCTGCGGGTTTCCAGCCGGGGGCTGCTGCGGGTCCCTGACCGCGGGCAGCGGGAGGCCAGGGGATGCTGCAGCCCCGGCTGGTGGCTCTGCAGGTGCTCCAGGACCAGAGCCCCCCGCCCCGCTCAGCCCGGCCCCGCGGCCCCGCAGGGGATCATGAATCCCCGGTGACACAGGGTCAGGGGGCAGCCCCGGGACCTTATTGCGAATCGAGGGGAAATGACCCCCGGGGCGGCCTCTGACCCGACCTTCAACTCCTAATGACCGAGGAGGAGTTTACACCGGGCTGCGCGCGGGAGGCCTGGGGCAGGGGGGGGCGCCCAGGGGTGCCGGGGGCTCGGTGGGGCGCAGCCGGGGCCGCCCCTGACCCGTCCTTCCTCCCGCAGCCGACCCCGTGGTGCAGATCGAGGGCAACCCCCACTGCTGCTTCTTCAACTTCAGCCCCAAGATCATGTTCACCAAGGTGGTGAAGGCGCAGCTGTGGGTGTACCTGCGGCCGGTGCAGCACACCTCCACCGTCTACCTGCAGATCCTCCGCCTCAAGCCGGTGACGGAGGAGGGCAGCCGCCACATCCGCATCCGCTCGCTCAAGATCGACCTCAACTCCCGCATCGGGCACTGGCAGAGCATCGACTTCAAGCACGTGCTGCAGAACTGGTTCAAGCAGCCGCAGAACAACTGGGGCATCGAGATCAATGCCTTCGACCCCAACGGCAACGACCTGGCCGTCACCTCGCTCGGCCCCGGGGCCGAAGGGCTGGTAGGTGCCCGCTGCGGGGACGGAGCCCCGGTGGGAATTGGGGGGGGACCCGGCCGGCTCCGGGGAGCTGGGGGGCAAAGGAGAGGAATGGGGATGGGTGTGGGTGCGGAGGGGAGGGCAGCTCCATGGGGCTGGTGACAGCTCCGTGGGGATGGTTCTGGCTCCGTTGGGGGGGTTCTGGTTCCATGGGGGTGGTTTTAGCTCCATGGGGATAGTTCTGACTCCATGGGGATGGTTTTAGCTCCACGAGGATGATTTTAGCTCCACAGGGATGGTTCTGGCTCCATGGGGATGGTTCTGGCTCCATGGGGGTGGTTCTGGCTCCATGGGGGTGGCTCTGACCCCATGGGGATGGTTCTGGCTCCATGGGGATGGTTCTGGCTCCATGGGACTGCTCCCAGCTCTGTGGGGACAATGACAGCTCCGTGGAGCTGGTTATGGCTCTGCTGGCTTCATCACAGCTCCATGGGACCAGTCACAGCTCCAAGGGGCTGCTCACAACTCCATGGGGACAGCGACAGCTCCACAGGGCTGGGGACAGCTCTGGGGGCTCCATGGGAGCTGGAGCAGTGGGACCACAGGGCTATGGGGCCGCGGGGCTACGGGGCTGCAGGGTTGTGGGGCCGCGGCCAGGGCTGATGCTCCGCTCTCCCCCCAGCACCCCTTCATGGAGCTGCGGGTGCTGGAGAGCAACAAGCGCTCGCGGAGGAACCTGGGGCTGGACTGCGACGAGCACTCGACCGAATCGCGCTGCTGCCGCTACCCGCTCACCGTCGACTTCGAGGCCTTCGGCTGGGACTGGATTATCGCCCCCAAGAGATACAAAGCCAACTACTGCTCGGGGCAGTGCGAGTACATGTTCATGCAGAAGTACCCGCACACCCACCTGGTGCAGCAGGCCAACCCCCGGGGCTCGGCGGGGCCCTGCTGCACCCCCACCAAGATGTCCCCCATCAACATGCTCTACTTCAACGACAAGCAGCAGATCATCTACGGCAAGATCCCGGGCATGGTGGTTGACAGATGTGGATGCTCTTAGACCCCCGCTGGTGCTGCCCCCTCCGCCCCGGGCCCCACGTCCAGCCAACAAACTCATCTTTTCTTCCACTTTTTTTTTTTGTTGTTGTTGTTATTGATTTTTTTTTTTTTTAAAGATACAAAGAACAAGCGTTGAGATTCCTTTGAATGTTGGGGAAAGAGAGCGAGAATAATAATAATAATAATAATAATAATAAAAAAAAAATCCGGCGGAGAAACGCTGCACCAAACCTGCGCTTCGACATGCATTGTGCAATAAGCAGACCGACAGAGAAGGGAGGGGGCGGCCCCCCCAGCACCGCCACCGCCCCGGCACCGGCACCACGCGGCTCCTCCACCGGACACCTCTGGCCCCAGGGGAGAGCAGAGGGGAGACGGCAGCGGCGCAGCGGATGAGTGGAGCCTGCGGGGACGGGGACGCGGCCGTGCGCCCCGCGGCGAAGGCGACATCCGAGGCTGACAGCGGGGAAAAGGCTCCTGCCCCAGTTCCCCTCTCGGAGCGAGGACTGCAGGATCCAGCCCCGGGACGGCTCGGCCACGTGGGCGCAGGCGGCAGGTCCGGCCCGGGAGGAATCCGTCTCCCTCCTTTAATTTATTTATTTATTACGGACCCTCCTGGCCGGCGCTCTGCCATGGGACGCCCCAGGGTGCTGCCTCCTCCCCGCCTTCGCGCCACCATCGCCACGCCGGGCACCACGACAGCAGGGCCAGCGCAGTCCTCGAGGCCCCTGCGTGCCCCCAGCCCTGAGCCACCCGCAGCTGGAGGGGTCCCGGCTGCCCCCCTGCCCTCCTGGAGCGGATCTGGCCCCAGCGGGACGCAGCCGGGGGGACTCAGGGGGACGCGGCCGGGGGGGCGGCCACGGTGCGGGGTTATCTGGAGGCGGCACCGGCCAGAATTGGACGGAGGCTCTGGCTGGGGAGAAATTCCGCTTATGCGGCACATTCGCCTCCCCCTCTGCCCTCGATGTTTGGATTATTTTCGCATGAGAACAGGATCCTGCTTTCTCAAGAGTTCATCTGCCCCTGCTGCTCCGGCGTCTCCCCTCCGCAGCCGCAGTGATGCAACCGGCCCTGGCGCCAGGCGGCCGCCGGCCCCGCACCCCCCCCCCGCTGTCCCCCATGCACCGGGCACCCCCGCGCCCCCCGCCCCCGGACCCACGGGATGGAAGCCGCCGGCTCGGGGGCAGCACGAGGAAGACCCCGGACCTCGTCCCTAGCACTTATCCAAAGGGTGCCGGAGCGCCCTGGCCGGGCGCCGTGCCCCAGCCCTCCCACCCTGATTGCAGCACCATGGGGTGGGGGGCACGGGGAGAGACCCCCCCCATCCCTGGCGGGGCCGTCCCCATGCCCCACGCAGCACTTAGGGACAGCTCAGGGGTCGGATGCGCGCCCTGGCCAGAGGACTCGGGATGCTCAGCACTTGTCCCCCTGCTCCACGCGCCCCCCAAGCGCTTACAAGGACGAGGCTGCCCCGGAGCCCCCCAAGCACTTAGGGCCCGGAGCGCGCGGGGTTCCCGGGGCTCGGCAGCCACTCTCCGGCCTCAGTGGCACGAAGGAGGTGGTGCAGGGCTGGATACAACCTGTGGGATCCACCAGCGCCGACACCAACCCGGCTGCGGGGCGAGAGGTTGGTGCCGCAGCCCCAATCCCTGCTCTTCAGTGCCTTTGGGGGCTGCCAGCGCCGCCTCCGGAGCCGGCAGGGGGATGGGGGGAAGCAGCGTCCCGCAGCACCTGGGGGGCTCGTCCCGGAGAGGTGGCACTCAGGGGGCATTTTGCCAGTCCCCATCGTGGTTGCAGCCAGCGCCCACCATCGTCACCTCGTCCCTCCGCGTACGACACCGCTGGATGCGGCCGCCGATTGAGGATGCGCTCAGGTGGAGCTGGGCGCCGGGAAAAAGCCAAAATCTGCTTCAGAGTGAACTGGAAAGGGTGCGGGGCCGAGCGTGCTCCAACGCTTGTCCACAGCCGTCGGCACAGCCTCGAGCCCCGTGCAGCCACGTGCAACGCGCTCGGCACAACGCGGCTGCTCCCCGGGCACCGCTCCCGGTGCTGCCCACGAGACGCGGGGCGCAAAAGGCGGCGGCACCGGGGTGGCCAAGCCTGGAGCCATGAGGGGCAGTGGATGGGAACCACGGCCCCAAAACCCGGCCCCGCTCCCACAAAAGCCCCCGCGCCTACCGGGGTGCCGCGGCAGGCAGGTGGCGCCGGAGAAGAACTGGGACCAGTGCCCCGCGCTGACTGGTCCCAGCGCCGGACCGAGGGCAGCAGGCTGGGCGGCGCAGCCCCGGCAGTATGGTATTATTTACACTGTGTATTGTTACTGTGCGTAATGTCCTAGGTTATTTTTGTTCGTTTGTTCGTCGTTTCGTTCTGTTTTTTAATTGGGTGCGGGGGGACGCGGCGGCGACTTCGCGAGGGCGATGGCTCAGGACAGAGGCCACGGGAGGGAGGGGGGACGTGGCGGGTTCGAATCGCATGACCAAAAGGCCATTGGTGGTCGGGGGGGGGGGGAATGTTTTTTAATCACAATGACCAAACACAGCACTTGAACATCAAAAAATAAAAATAAATAAAAAAAATATTTAAAAACAATACAAAACATAAATAAATCGGAGCATTCAGAGCTTTCAGCTCCCGTCCCGCACTGGGGGCTCTCACGTCCCCTGAGGTCCCAGCCCTGCTGCCAAACCAACGCAGGTGCCACAGCGCCTGGGGACAGCCCCGTCCCCATCAGCGTGCCACAGGCACCGGCGTTGCCATCCTGGGGCCAGCGGAGGCTCGGCTTGGCCCGGAGAGCAGGAGCGAGCAGAGGCTCTGTGCTGAAATCCCGCATCAGGTGAGGGTCCCATTTGCACTACGGAAAGGAGAGGAGGAGGAGAGGCTGGGCACAGGATCCCCTGCACCGTGCAGCCGAGGCGCTCCCACGCCTGCGCTTCCTCATCGCAGTTTTCCCTGTCCCTGTGCCACCAAATCCCCCGGGGATGGGGGCAGCACGAGGTTCCCCCAGCCGGGGCTCAGTCCCCTTCCTCGTGCTCTTGCCTACCTCAGGGGCTCCGGACGACACCCGAGGCTTTACTCGCAGCGCCCGTTTATTTTCTGCCCTGGGGACAGGCGGGCACGCTGCAGCCTCGGTACGGGCACGCTGCTGCGCCCCTGGGAGGAGGACGCAGTGTGGCCACCGCTCACCCGTGGGAGAATCGTGCACGGATGCGGCCGAGCAGGAAGCCGAAAGCAGCGGGCACGCCGGCGTCCCTGCAAAAAGTAAAATAAAATAATAATAATATTTTGGGAGAAGCGACAGGAAAGGCAAAAAAAAAGAAAAAGAAAAAGAAAAAAAAAAAAGCTCAGTGATCGTCTCAGTTACGGTGTTGTATAAATCACGTTCGTTCTGTATCTTGCGTTAGTCTCTGGTGTATATGCTAACTGCTGCTTCTGTCCCAGTTCCTTCCTTTTTTTTTTTTTTTTTTTTTTAGACTTTTTGTACAATAAAAAAATATCTAGCCAAAAAGAAGAGAGGAAAAAAATAGGGGAAAACTGCTGAGAAACGCGTTTCACTTGGGTTCCTTGTCACCACCTTGTCACCCTCTGCACGGCGCCCACCAGGACCCCAGCTCCACACCCAGGGATGCTGCAGAGGGGGGCCCACATGGCCAACCCCCCCCAGCCCCCATTTTCCTGCAGGAGCCACCTCCCACCCCCCCAGTGCCACTCGCTGGTGGAGGCACAGGAGGCTGTGGGGAGACCCCATCCTCCAGGTCCTCGCCTCCCTGCCCCGTGCCGGGACCACCACTGCCTCCCCGTCCCCGCTGGGCTCGGCCCCCATGCTGCGTCCCTGCGTCACCGCAGCCTCCAGCACCGCGCGCCCCGTCCTGCAGCCCCCCCATGTCCTCCCTCGAGAGCCTCTGCCTCGATCCAGCGCCCCCAGCCTTGGCTGGCTCGGGAAATATGTTTCCTGATGCTTCTCATTTTTCCCACGCTCCCTGCTGCCGGCCGCGGAGCAGCGGATGAGAGGGGAAGAAATCCGCCCTAACGCCCGCGCCCCGCTCCGTCCTGGTGCCAGAAGCGCGTCTCCCCCCCTCTCCCCAAACCCTCCCCAAACATTTGCCTTTGTGCTTCAAAAACCACGCTGAGAACCAGCAGGGCGGCACACAAACACCCCCAAAACCATCCGAACGGGCCGGGAAGAGGTTTCCCCATCCCGCCAGCGCGGCCCCAGCCTCTCCTCGCCCCAGCCCCGCTCCTCGGCGGCTTCGCCCCACGGAGGGGACGCCGAGCACGTGGGCGCCGGCGGCCTCCGCTGCCTCCGCTCCACGCTGTAAAGCTGAGATTTACAAGTGGCCGGAGGAGCCCAGAGCTGGGCAGCCTTTATGGAGCCTCATTAGGAGCTGCAGGTATGCCGAGAATGTCGCAGCTAATTACAGCTGGGCTCGGCGGGGGACAGGGGTGCGCAGCTGGGGGGGGCGCTGGGGTCGCCGGCCGCGGGGCCGGGATGGAGCCGCGAGGTTCTTGGCACGAGCGGGGCCCAGGCGCGAGGGCTCAGCTCCAGCGCGGAGCCCCGGGGTCGGCCAGGTCCCAGGCCCCGGCGGCCCCGTGGAGCTGCGCCGCTTCCCGGCTCTCGCGCTCCCTGTGCCGGAGCCAAGGTCCCTTCCCAAAGGCCTGGGGATGCGCTCGGGGGCTGCCGCGTGCCCCCGTCCTCGCTGCCCCACTGCTCCCCGGCTCCGCTTGCTCCATCGGAGACTCCCTGAGCCCAGCCTGGCTTTAGGCAAGGCTGAGGTCCCAGCCACGCACAGGGCACCAAAATCTGGGGAAGAAACCCACCCAGTCTCCTCTGGACCTGGCTTTCCCATGGGGGAAGCTCCTGGAGGGCTCCAGGACCTGCACAATGGCACCAGAACCAAACTGGAGCCCTGGGCGCAATGCACGGCACCAAACACTGGTGGCAGTGAGGTCCGGGGCACCCCCACACCCCCACCTGCCCGCTGCCCCCGCATGGGCACCACAAGGTCCCGGTCCCCCTTTGTTTGTTTGTTTCGGGGACGATGTCAAGAGTTTAACGAGCGCCTTTGTTCCGGTCACGTCTCCCCGAGGCTGCACCCCACATCAGTGGCTCCCCGGCCACCGGCTGACCTAGTTCCGAAACCCAGGGCAGGGCTGGGGCGGGGGGGGGGGAGAGGGACAAATTAGGACAGGGACGTGCGGGCGACCACCCACAGCTGCACCATGACATAATATGGCTCCCTAACCTTCCCCTCCGCTGCCTAACAAGACTGCCCGCACGCAGCATTCACAGTAATTAAACCATCAACAGGGAGCTTGGCTGGGATCCACCGACCTCGCCACGGCCCGGGGAGATGCCTGGCGCGGGGCACGGCGCAGCGGCAGCACCGGGGGGACCGGGTGGCTCAGCCCTCGGCCACGGCACTCGGGGATGGGACTGCAGGGTCCTCGATGTCCCTGAAGTGTGCCATGCTCAGGCACGGGGCGGTGAGCTCCTCATGCGGGGTGTTCCCTGTCCTTCCCTGTCCCCCAGCGGATGCATCCTGTGGAGCCTCTGCTGCAGCAGGGAAACCTCGGGGGGACGACGGCACCGACCGGCCCCGACACCTCGCCACCGCTCGGGAAGGGCAGCAGCTTGGGTTCCTTGGGGCAAGGAGCGCAGAACCGGTGAGTCCGGAGAGGGAAAGCGAGGTCCTGGCACGGCGCAGGAACCCTCCTGCAGCCTGTGGAGAGGCTCGGCCTGCAGGCTCAGCCCCACGCCGGGGCTCACCGGCCCCACGGCGGCACAGGTGGGGGGCAGCCCCTCCGTTCAGCCCCTGCACACGCCAGGCTGCGCTCTTTTGTCCCCTCATTTCCCTGAATTTAAACAAAAGCCACTTCCAACCCACCCAGGGAGGCCGTGGGGAGCAGAGCCGGGCGCCGCGGGGAGAAGGGGCGCTGGCACCAGCTCGGGACCGAGCCCCCCGCTGCCCCGAGCCCCCACCTCCTCCGCGGCCCCCACACTGCGCAGCCCCACCGCTGCTCCCGCCCCCGGCCCCCCCAGGCCTGACCTATAGTCCCACTCGCATTTACAGCCCAAGCGTCTGCTGTGAAAAGTGACTTCATGCTGAATTTGGGCACTGCACGGCGTTACCAGCTCTCACGCTGCAAGCCCCGGCCCTCCTTTTCTTTCGCTCGCTTTCCCACACTTTCCCCCGCTCATTGTGTGCCCGCTGCTTTTTTTCTTCGCCTATTCAGCCCAAATTAGTCACGAGCAGCCCCCAGCTTGGAGAGGAAAAATAAATTAGGTGGTGTTTTAAACACAGTGTGATTGGAACGATTCTCCCCTGCACCCAGGAGGGGAAAGCCCGGCCTTTGAAAGATGCGGCGTCCTCCACCAACAGCCCCCGCGCACGGCCCCGGGAGCGGGCTGGGGACGCGGCCCCGCACGGAGCTCACCGGGTTGCGGTGCCACTGGCCACAGGAGGCTCAGCCCCGGCCAGGGGAGGGGATGGGGAGAAGCTGGACCCAGCCCCACGCCACGGGGAAGGACGGCGTGGGACATGCGGCCAGGCACCAGGTCCTCGTCCCAGCTCCGGGAAGGGGACGGCACCGGGACCCCCGCGTTTGGTTCTTGGCGTGATGAGGTTGGAAGCCCGGAGAAGCAGCTGTGACGAAGCCTCGGATGCCAGGAGAGCTCTGCCTGCCCCTCCTCGGCTCTCTGAGCCACCCGTGGCGCCCGGTACCCACACCAGCAGCGAAGGGAAGCTCTGGCCCTGCTGTCCTTACGCGCCTCGGTGGCTCTGGCTCTGCTACCACCGGGTGCCAGCCCCGAATCCTGCCCCTGGCCGGAGCAGCAGGGTGGCTCTGGGGGGGCGAGAGGGGACGAGGAGCTGGGGCAGGCCGGGAGCAGGGGGCAGGAGCTGCTTTCTTCAGGGCCGTGGTGTGCCAACGTCTATCCGTCCGTCCGTCCATCGCAGCTCCATCCCTGCAGCACGCTCCGGCCCCGAGTCAAAGCGACAGACACCAGAATTGCCTTGGAGAAGCAGTTTTATTATGAAACCAAGAACGAAATGCAGTGTTTGCCCTGGCACACTACAAAACATCTCAAGCAAATAACCAGCAGAAGGATCATGAGCCAAATAGAAAATACATCTTACAAAATCTGACATAAAAAAAAACAAAACAAAACAAAACAGAATAAAGTTATTACATTAAATCGGGAAAGAGCAAGGGAGCTTCGATTCACTCAGCCATCGACAACCCAAGACACCACGAAACCCGGACCCCGTGGCTTTTAGCTGCCCTTTGGGAAAGTAAACAAACGTCCAAGGTATTGCTTAGAGTCACTGAGGGCGCACACATGCAGTCAGACTGCAGACATCAGTGGAACAGAAGCAGTTTGAAGACTTCTACGTTAAAAAATATCTATATATTGCTTATTAAGAATCAGGTATAAGCCTCTGGAAAGCTCCGTTTGTACACGCATCCGCTGTTCTCTGGCATCTTAAGGGACCAAGCATGGACAACGCAAACGCCTTTCCCAGAAACGGTTACAGTCAGAAATAAAAATCCTACAACTTCAGTAAGACTCCAGACAACAGAAGGATTTCGGCCAAAATGCCCACCCAAAAACCCAAGCGGAGGCCTGGACCTCTGCTTATACCTGGGGCCGAGGTATCCGTGCGAGGGAAAGCACTGCTCAAGGTGTAGCAGGAACGAACGCTTGCAACTGGAACTAATTCTCTAGGTACAAAGAAGGAAGAACGGGCACCGGGCGGCTGCTCTCGCTGCCACGGCGCTGCCGGTCCCACAGACACTGGCCTCGGGCTCCTACTCTTCACCACCGGGTGCCCACGGAAGCCGCCCTGAGGAATTGCTCGTTCCAGCCCCCTAGGAACGGAGGTGCCCTCCGAAACGCCGCAGCAACAGCGTGCGCTGAACAGGCTGCGGCAGCGCTGCCTTCCGTGGGACCCGGCCAAGGTTTTGCCCCACAACTTGACTGCAACGGCCCCGGTTAACGCAGGAGGAACTGCGTTAGATCAGAGATCTTCAGCCCTGAACGCAGGTCCCAGGGCAACAGCGGTGCCCTCCCGCGCCCTCCGGCAGCTCGGAGAAGAGCGAGGCTTCTTCAGCAAGTGTGCGAGTCAACCAGCTCGCCAGCTGCTCTGAAGCAAAGAGAGGAGAAAATGAAACCCAGCCTGAGAACACGCTCGGACAAAGGGATTCTGGCGTTGTGTTTAAGGAGAGAAATGTATCGCTGACCTTAGCGGGACCTGGAAAACGTGCGTGAAACGCCAGGAGCCCCAGAGGGCTTAACAAGGCCGGATAAATGAAGCGGTCAGGACGGGCTCTGTTT